ATGCCTGTGGGTGAAGGTTAGATTGCCTGAGTTGGAAAAACTCATTAAAATCCGTGTTTTAGCCTACTCGCGAGTAGCAAATTCCAAAACGTTTTTCAAGAAACAAACGGAGATGCAGGAGCATGTTTTAGGCTTAGTCTTGTGAAGGTTTTGTGCATATTTTGCCATGTTTTAGGTCTGTCCATAGTTGTTTGGGTCGGATTTGGCATGCTTAGTATAGCCCCTTTGCATTCCGGCTTGTTGGCCTTAAGTGTATGCATGTATAGCATGACATCTTTGCATTGATTTGGTGATTTGGGGCCACCCCACATGTTATTTCAGTCCCATTTTCATGCTTGCCTGATTGCCTTGCATGCCTCTTTAATGCTTTGGAAGCATGTTTCGCATGCTCCATGTTTTGACCATTGTGCATGCCTCTAAATTTGAGCCACTTAGATGCCATCTAAGTAGTCCTTTAGCCTTGTTTTAACATGCTAAAAATCTTTTCTTTAGTTGTTTAAATGCATGCCATGGTTGTTGTGCTAAATGTGCTTCAGAGTTTCATGACTTGTCTCAAGTATTTGGACCATGCTTGCATGCATTTGCTTATCTTGTTTAACATGATTTGGCATCATTTTATAACATGATTTTCAATGCTTATGTCGCATGCTATTTGTCCATGAATGCCCCTTTCAAGTGTGCTTGAGGGTTGTCCAATTTGTGCCTAAGTGTTGGCCCTTAATCATATGTATGTGTGCATGTGTTTTGGTCCCTTGTTTTGGTCATTTTAGCCACTGTTTTGGGCCTTATTAGAGCTGCCCAAATCATGTTTAAGACCCCCTTTTCATTGGTTAGCATTGCCTCATGTTTGCTTGCATGCTTGCATAAGTGTCTTGCCATGCCATGTTGCATCCTTAGCTTGTATGCCTAGGTTGCATTGCATCTTGCATGCATGCCTTGTTCCTTGACTTGAGGATAGGAATTGGGCCTTGATTTGCTTGATTGGTTTGCATTTCATTTGACATGAAAGTTGCATACTTGATTCTTTGGGCCATCATGCATGGAAATGCGTGATTGGTAGTCTGAGAATCGAGGCACATGCCCCTTTGAGTCATTACCATGATAAGGGACATGAGTGGTGCATACATGCCTTGAATTGTACTGCCATGCTTTGCCTTGCCCTCTGTTGCTGTGAGTTGCAGGTTCTGCAGGCTTTCTTTGCCGACCGGCAGTGTCAAGTGCCGACCGGCAATAATTTCTCTGCCGATAGCTTCACTTTGTGCCGGTGGCTACACCACACTGCCGGTGGCAATTCCATTCAGCCGGTGGCACTCCCCAATGTCTAAGGAAGCAGTCCTGAGGTTTTGGCAGCCTCCAGAGGAGTGAAGGAAGGAAAACAGAGGCAGCCTATGCATGGCGGTACGCTTCCCGAGGCGGTTTACTATTTTTTTTCCTAGATTAATTAATTTGCTTAGTTGATTGGGCAATTTGTAATATTTAATTAGCTTGCGTAGTTAATTAATCTGTAATATTTATTCGATCCCTCCGAGTGAGGGCAAATCTGTAATAAGTGTGCGTGAGTGGTGTGTATGTCTTCCAATCCCCACTTCTTTCTTCCCTTTTACTTACCTGCCTTGGTGGTTAGTATTAGGGCACGTTTAATTTAGCATACCTTATGCTATGCATGCGTGCATTCATGCATTTGTGTTGCATGCATTAGGCTCGGTACATCATGCTAACTGCATTTGTACTTCAAATTCCAAGTTGAATACGTGCATCAATTGACTGCATTTCATATGCCATGCTTAGGTTCGCCGAGCCTACTTCGATTGCATCCTGTATGTGTTAGGCAATTTAACATGAGCTAGGACATGCATGTTTGCTAACTAGTTTATTGTTTTGGCACGGAGTACGATGTAAGTATTTCCGCTTTAGCATATCGCATGAGTGTGAATGTTGGCATGATAGCACGCTTAACATGTGACTAGGTGCTTATATGAGATAAACTGTTTGAATGCCTGTGGGTGGAGGTTGGATTGCTTGAGTTGGAAAAACTCGTTGAAATCCGTGTTTTAGCCTACTTGCGAGTAGCAAATCCGAAAGCACTTTTCAAAACAGATGGATATGCAATGTTTATTTCCAAATTAGGCAATCTAGTCTATACTTGTTTGCTGCACGCATAAACATAGTAATTCTAGGCTAATAATTGGAATAAGAACACATAACATTTTCAAAATCAGATATCACGGTTAGTAGAGGCCGGTCTTCGGACCG